TCATCCACGTTTCTGTGAATGGCAGTATTTCATTTTTTTATGGTAGAGTAGTATTCCATTGTGTTTGTATACCACATTTTCCTTATGTAATCATCTGACAATGAACATTTGAATTGGTTCCATCTCTTGGCTATTGTAAATAAAGCCGCAATAAATATCAAAGTACGGATATCCCTTCTATTTGTTTCTTTGTACATCTCATAAATTTTGGTTGTAAACTATATATTTTTGTAATATTTTGTTTCTCTAGGTTCTCATTGCATTCCCCTTTTCCTCAAGAAGTTTGTTTTTGTTTCTTTATTTAGTTACTTCCCTATGGCTGCTTATGTCTATACTGAGTTTGAAGAAAAATAAAATGTAATTTTTAAGCGTGGCATCCTAGGTTTCCCCTGTGTGTCTATGTATCTCCAGTTGATATCTAAGACTGAATAGAAGTGATGCTCAATCCCATCAATACATTAAGTTTTCTTCCCACCTTGGATGGATCTATGTCTGAATAGGGAAGTCCCTTAACAGTTTGGGCCATTTTAAAATCTTCCATAGCTTACTTATAGTTTCACCACCTCTCTTTTTCACATGTGTGTATCCTAGCATTGCCAGGATTGTATGTCACTCAACCGTAGGAAAATTAGTATGTACAATTAACTTAATTCTAACAATAACTCTGTGATGTTTTTATTAAGATGGGCATCTGATCCATGTAAACATTTGCCATGTAAACCTCATAACTGTGTCATTAAAATGAGGAAGTAAAATTCTCATTTCTACTTGGGTTTCTATCAAGATATTCACATTTCTTGATGTGCATAGAATAAAGTCAATGTAGAGGGAATAAACAGAATTTAGAGAAGGACACAGACCATATCCTCATGACAAGTTTGAGCTTCAAAATTTACCTATCACAATTGTTATAACTGCCCTCCCCCCAATCCTTTATTACCATTTAATCTAATTTTATTTGGTTTGTGTAATCTACAACATGGAGGGAAAAAAAAAAAAAAACTAATGCAAACGTAAAAACCTGTGTGTGTGTGAGTGTGTGTGTACACCCAGCTACTGGTTCTGTTCTTCAAGAAAATTTACATGGAGGAAGAAAGTATGGGGGAAAGGAGAGCATGTTTATTGGTACATGATTGCTCAAACAAATAAAACAACATCTGTGGTAATAAAGAAGAGTAGATAGCTAAAGACCATTAGGGGTGCACATTAAACTGGCCTGGTAGAGAAAGAGTTCAGAGTAAGTATTGTAGTTTTTTTAGGACAATGACTAAGTGAATATTGATAACATTGTGGAAGGGTTATAAGTAAGAAGACAGTGTGGCTGGTGTTACATATTAGACATCCTATTGTGCTAGTATTTGCGGCTTCTTCACTACTGAATATATTAAACTGCACTTCAGTGACAAATCTGAGTAAAAGTAGAAAGTTGGAAATCAACTACACATATGTTGGTATCGAATTAAAGGAAGTGGTTGAAGTCAATTATAGTTAATGTATAGAGTGAGAAGTGAGGAGCATGAGAAACATCTTTAGTATGTTTGTTTGCTTGTACATTGAACCCTCAGCGAAAATGAAGTAAACTTCTTGAACACCCATAATATGAATGTTTGTGTGCCTATAGTTTCCTTTCTGGACAAACAAGAACTGTATGAATTAATCACCACTAGACCAGCCCTACAAGAAATCCTTAAGAAAATCTTTCATTTGGAAGAGAAAGAATGATAGCTACCATTATCATAACATGCAGAAGAATAAAACTCACTGGCAGAGCAGATATGCAAATGAGAAAGAGAAAAAAATATATATCTTATCACCAAAAAACCAGCAAATAACACATACTAACAATTAAAGAGAAAGAAAGGAATAAAAGATGTATAAAACAACCATAAAACAATTACAATACTGTGATAAGGTACTACCTTTTGATAACTACCTTGAATGTAAATAGGTTAACTCCCATATTTAAAAGATAGACACTAGCCACTGCTACAGTGCGCCGCTTGGGAGTGCGGAGGCGCTCCCGCCGAGGGTTCGGATCCCACATACAGACCGGTTCCCACTCACTGGCTGAGCGAGGTGTGGGAGCAACACCGAGGGTTGTGATCCCGTTGCCGGTCCCGGTCCGGTATGGGCGCGACACTGAGGGTTGCGATCCGTTGCCGGACATGAAAAAAGACAAAAAGGAAAAAAAAAAAAAAGATAGACACTAGCTACATGGATTAAAAAACAAAATTCAACTCTATACTCCTACAAGAAACTCACATCACCTGGAAAGGCACACATAGACTCACAGTGAAGAGATGGAAAATATATTCCATGCAAATGGAAACCAAAAATGAGCAGAACTAGCTGTACTTGGATAAAGTACACTTTAGACCAAAAAGTATAAAAAAAGACAAAGAAGGACATTATATAATAACAAGGAGGTCAATTCAGCAAGAGGATATAACAATTGTAAACTTCTATTCATCCAACATTAGAGCACCCAGATATATAGAGAAATTATTATTGGGACTGAAAGGAGAATTAGACTCCCAATACAGTAATAGTCAGGAATTTCAGCACCCCTCTCTGAGCATTAAACAGATCATCTAGACAATAAATCAACAAAGAAACACTGGATTTGAACTATACACAAAATGTACTATACAGACATTTGTGGAACATTTAATTAATAAATGCAGAATACACATTGTTCTCATCAGCACAAACTATCTCCAAGATAGACAACATGCTAGGCTACAAATTAAGTCTCAACGAATTTTTAAAAAATTGAAATGATATCACACATCTTTTCAGACCACAAGGGAATAAAATCAGACATTTATAACAAGTGAAATTTTGGAAAATGCACGAATATATGAAAATTAAACAACATGCTTGTGAATGACAAGTGGCTCAGCTAAAAAAGAAGTAATTTTAAAAATTTCTTAAAACAAATAAAAACAAAAGCACAACATACTAAAACCTATTGGGTAGTGCAAAAGTGGTACTAAGATGGAAGTTTATGGAAATAAGTGCTTACATCAAAAAACTGAAAGATTTCAAATAAACAACATAACATTGTAACTCAAGGAACTAGAAAACTAAGAACAACCCAATCCCAATATTAGCAGATGAAACAATAAAGATTAAAGCAGAACTAAATGAAAGACACCAAAAAAAAGATACAAAGAATCAACGACACCAAAAGTAGGTTTTTTAAAAAGATATACAAAATTGACTACCATTAATTAGACTAAGAAAAAAAGAGAGAAGAACCAAATAAAATCAGAAATGAAAAAGGAGATATTACAAGCAATACCACAGAAGTATAAAGAATTGTTAGAAACTATTAACTATTATGAGCAACTATGCGCCCACAAATTGGACAACCCAGAAAAACAGACAAATTTCTGGACACATACAATCCCCCAATTCTGAAACAAGAAGAAATAGACCCCCCCCCAAAAAAACAATGACAAATAAAAAGACTGAATCAGTAATAATTTGTCTCCGAAGAAAGAAAAACCCTGGTCTGAATAACTACGTGGCTGAATTCTACTAAACCTTTAAAGTTTGAAATGACAGAGTGAAATGCCAGTTAAGCTATTATAAAAAAAAAAAAAAAAAAAAAAACAAACAAACAAAAAAAAAAAAAAACAAACAAACAAAAAAAAAAAAAAACAAACAAACAAAAAAAAAAAAAAACAAACAAACAAAAAAAAAAAAAAACAAACAAACAAAAAAAAAAAAAAACAAACAAACAAAAAAAAAAAAAAACAAACAAACAAAAAAAAAAAAAAAAAACTTCCAAGAATGTAGATAAAAGGGAAGATTTACACACTGTTCATGGGAATATAAATTAGTACAACCCTTATGGAAGACTGTATGGAAGTTCCTCAAAAAACTGAAAATAGAACTCCTGTATAATCCAGCAATCCCACTGCTGCATACTTATCCAAAGAAAAGAAAATTAGCATGCTTAAGAGATATCTGCACCCCCATTTTAATTGCAGTACTATTCACAATAGCCAACATATGGTGTCAACCTAGATGTCCATAAAAACATGAATGAATAATGAAAATTGATATATTTACACAATGGAATATTACTTGGCCAGGAAAAAGATGCATGGATGAGCCTGGAAGACATCGTGT